AGCCCGAACGTCGTCGATTCTAGGGAAAACAAAGGGTGGTCTGCTAAGGAAATTGTAAATATGGCTTTCACCGAGGGATACGCAGCGCTGAACACCCGATGGCCGGTGTCATTACGTTTTCAGTCCGGTAAAAAGAAGTCAACATTATACCGTTCTACTCGAGTCGGGTAGGAAGAAGTCAACATTACCGTTCCCCTGGATATACGGGATCCCGAGGCGAAAGGGAAGATGTTTATTGAATTAGAAAGGGGCGGACGAAAAGAGGATACGATTACGTGGAGAAACAAAGGGTCTTTGTTGTTCCACCCTCGCGGAGCCGACGTTTTCGGAATCCTGACGGGGGATAAATAAAGTATAGCGAATTTCAATCGCGACGGTGCAGAGAGATTCTCGCAGTATGAAGTCCCCCGCGACTGCATTGGTATTGGCAGAGTTGTGCAGAATTATAATTGGATTACCCAAGGAGTTATAATTACGAAGTAATTCAATTACACATTGCAATTTAATTAGATTTTAGGTCAATCACATTGTCATTCACAATTGGATTGTAGCTCAATTACATTGCAATTCAATTAGATTTTAGTTCAATTACATTGTCATTCAATTGGATTGTAGTTCAATTACATTGCAATTCAATTAGATCTTAGTTCAATTACATTGTCATTCAATTGGATTGTAGCTCAATCACATTGCAATTCAATTAGATTTTAGTTCAATTACATTGTCAATCAATTAGATTGTATTTAATTGTATTTCAATTGCACTAGTTTTTAAAACAATTAGTAATTGAATCAACTCGTATGTTTTTATTACTCATAAGGAACGAATAACTAAACAATCGCTCGACAGAGTAAAGTAAAACCTGTCGAATATCGACATAACTGTTAGGCAATTATAATATTATGCGGGAGAAATGGAAATTAAAATCGCACGAACACTTATTGACCGACCTATTATAATGTCTGGATAACGAATGTAATGGAAGGAAGTTGTAATTTTGTTTAACAGCTTCTCTCGCTATCCTATGTTTCGCAAACTCATTTTTATGATGAACGCAAGAAATCCGTAATCTTCATTGAATCGAATAATTTCCTGGGCCAGCAAGCGACCACGATTTCATTATCGTAAATTTTACGGGGCGCAAACCGATTTTTAATGTGAATGGCGGAAGCAATGCGTGACAAGAAATCATTTTAACTGCTTTCTCAAGCTAACGTTCGCCCATAACAGTATCGATAATGCAGCAGTTGCATGGTTCTGCGACGGCAGTTGGTCGCGGAGCTTAACGAGCTACATTATTAACCGAACATCGCTAATCCATGTTTTGAAAAAGCCGCGGGGTCCCGTACATATTTCAGTGGAACCTGCGACGCAAACAAGCGACCAGATAAAAGCGCATACAATGCAATAATGCAATATGCAACACGTGCAGAATGAAGAATCTTTCCGCATGATCCTCCAACAAAACAATCGCATCTCCGTTTGGTCCTATCGATAAATGTTTATTAGTGATTTATAGAGTGCGGATTTGATGCAGGCGCCTATAGAAGATAGAATAAACATTTTATAATTATCGAATGTCAGCAGTTTTCGCGCGCGCTTTTGTCGCAGAATTAACGAGAGATAACCGATAAAAATGCGGGGACGAAGTTCGCGAGATTTTCCTGGAAAAACGATCGTGATAATTTCGTGACTGACGATCGGGCCTGCAAAGGCGCTAATTAAACGCGAAAATAAAATTGCACGAGCTTATAATCGCGAACTGTCTCGGGCGGTGAAAGCTTGCGCGGGGACACGGCGGCGAAAGAAATTCATTAAAAATGGTTGGGTCGTTACAGATAGCTCTGAAAGCGGGCCACCGCAGTGGTACGCTCGTTAATTCGACTTTACTGTGATCTCACGCGTACATTTATAATTAATATCGCTCGCCTAACCGCCCCGCGGTGGAGTATTTTGCCCGATTTCGCTGGCCAAAATTATTTTTCTCATTTAACGTGTCTAAAATGTGCCTGCTAACTTATTTACGGTATTCTCACGTAGAAAAAAGTAATTACAAGCGAGTAAAAATTATCAATAAAATAATCAAAATATCATTTTTACCATTTAACCGCTTCGCCATCATTTTTCTTGGGCAGTTTAAACATTTTCTTTAATTAACGGTAACCTTGACTCGAAAAGTCTTCCAGTACTTGATGCAAAATTGCTTTGGAGAAACGTTTGGGTTGAAATTTCGGATCGAGCAACCGTTGAGAGGCCATGAGGGTTTTTGCGAGGACTTTTGCAATGCTGTAGATAGATACATTCAAATAAATAATCAATATTCAACCGTTTCTGCTGTTGAGACTCGTCGTTGGTGAATCCATGATTTCGCGATTAAATGAAACTGTTAATAGAACCATTCTATCCTTTGCGAATTAAATGATTGATTTAAAGAGTCAGTTCTGTTAAGTATATATACTATGTACTTCGTTATCATAAGCACCAGTGGATAATATAATATATTTATATGATATTTATATAATATTTATGTGAGACTAGGTTTGCTAAGTTACAGATTTTACAAAAATAATGAAAAATATTGAACACTATCCGATATCTCAAAATAAATGAGAATGTGATCTTGCGCCACTTACATCGTCCATATATTATACTATTCGGGTTACCTTGAATCACCAACACTCATTTCACCGAAAATGTTTTCATTGACACGATTTCGCCGACATTGTTTATATACCGAGAGGAGACACTGAAATCGCTAACAAATGTTTACATCGACTCTCGTTTCACCGACAAATGCTATTATTGTCACTTAGAACTCTTGGCAACATACGTTTGATCGTAGTATCCTATACGATTATCGTTAGAGGTTACATTCGAAATCATCGACGATCACTTCGCCGACTATGTTTTCGTCGGCGAAATAATTGTTGGTGATTTCAAGGTAACCCATAAAATGCAGTATACAGGTTGTCCCAAAAATGTCTCGCAATCCGAAAGTGGCGGGTTCCTCAGGTCATTTGAAGCAACTTCTCCCTTTATAAAAATTTTCTCCGAGGCACCGTTAACGAGTTATTAGCGAAAAACAGTGACCAATAAGAATCGAGTACGGCTGACGCGAGGCGGCCCAACCAACCAGCGCACGAAGCCCAGTTCCGCTCATTGGCTCGGTCGCCTCGCGCCAGCTGAGCTCGCCTCTCATTGATCAGTGTTTTTCGTTAATAACTCGTTAATGATGCCTCGGAGAAAATTTTTGTAAAGGAAGAAGCTGCTTCAAATGATCCGAGGAACCCGCCGTTTCCGGATTGCGAGACATTTTTGGGACACCCTGTAGATT